TATTTTAGAAAATGATAATTAAATCAATTTACAAAAATATGAAAGAGTCAGTATTAAAATTTTAATTAAAACTCTTTGATGGTGTACACTAGGACATGACTTGTTTTACAAGCTTAATTTAAGAGGGAAAAAAATTGGATAGGACATTAACCAAAGGACAAAGTTAAATGGGCCCCATGGCACACTAATGGGACTACACCACGTTACATTTAAGATAAATCGGTTTTAATTATATGCTATTTGGCTTAAAGTAGAAAAAAAGATCCCACTAATCACATGGGAGACTATCATTTAACAAATATAATGCTACACTTTTCAAGAAATGGCAAAGTGAGGCCCTCTTAATCTATGTTCTTGATCATTTATTCAAACTTCACTTTGGAAGTTTCTAATATGGTTAAATAAACACCATTATTACAGATAACTATTATTATTATTACTAGGTTATAATCCGTAGCACCAAGGATGAGAAAGATAAAATTAATTTTAATTAAATTATAAGTTAATTATTGACCAATGGTAATAAAAAGATAAATAAATTATAAGTATAGTTGTTTTGTCTGTAATTTAATAATGATATGATGATAGGTTGAAACTATAAAATCATAATAGTTTGAATATTCGGTCAAGAATTTGTATTTGTAGATAGAAAATTATGATTTTGTATAATGGAATAAAATTATGAATATCACTATAAAAAATACAAATATTCATGAAAATGACATTATATGAAATTTAAAATATATTGTAATATAAGATAAATAAGTACATAAAATAAAAACAATTATATATTCAAATGGGGAAGTAATGGTCATATACTAATAATAAAAAAAATGATATAAAAAATATTTATAAATCAAACTTTTTTATACTCAAATATCATCATAAAAATTATTATTTTTTCTTGAAAATAGTGATTTCACCGATGATACAAAAAGTGTGGATTGTTATCAATATAGTTTTGTATTTTGTAAGCATAATCACCCAACAAAACAACAAATTGCAAACCACCGGAAAAAAATATTATTTAAATTAAATATTTCATAGAATTATCCATGTGTTAATAAAATTTAGTGAAATTTGGTCCTTAGTTAATATATTAACAAAATGGTCTCTGTATTACTAACTTTACAACATAGTTCCTGTGTTACAATTTTTAGTTAACTTTAAACAATTCTACACTAAAATAATACATTGCTAAAAATTACATAATTACTCCCTTTGTTACTCAATTGACATAACAACCATTGGATTATTAAATTTGCAAAACAACGATGTCTTATAAAAGAGTCATATGTTACAAAATAGCCCCTGTGTTACAATTTTAGTTAACTTTTAACTATTCTACTCTAAAATATTAATGTATTTTATAGTACATTGCTAAAATAAATACATAAATGCTCCTATGTTAATAAATTGACAGAATAGCCCATGGGGTACTAAATTTACAAAACAGCTATTGTCTTAATAAATTAAGTGAAATCTGATCCATATGTTATTCAATTGACAAAACAGCCCCTGTGTAACACAAAATTTTGAAAACAATCCCTATGTTTAAAAAATTTACATAATGGCACCATTGCAGATTTTTTTTTTTTTTTTTTTTTTTTTTTGGAAAGGGAACTTCCCTAACGAGGGTTTTCGGACCAGCTTTCGCGCACCGACTAATCCCCCGCTGCAAACATAGAGTTTTGCCTCATGCGCTGGAGTCACTGCAGGCGAACCTCCATGGCCACATTTCTACTAAAGCAGATTTAGCAAACACTTCCAATCACAATTCTACTAAACTTTCCAAACCTAAAATTTTCAAATTACAAACTTTTTAAGTACTTGCCTTTAAACAAAGTTTGAATTTTAAGTTTATTAATATGTTATATATATATATATATATATATATATATATATATATATATATATATATATATATATATATATATATATATATATATATATATATATATATATATATATATGAAAGTACATTTTCATTACAGAAAAAAAAAAACAAATTGCTTCCTTATCAGGTATGATTCCCCACCAACCATACTTTTGACAGTATGTTGCTATTATAGGAAAAAAAAATGAAAGAACCGAAAAATTGATAAACCAAACAAATAACCGATGCAACAGAAAAAAAAAATTGTTTGAAAGTTAGGTGCTGTAAAAGAAACGAATGAAAGTAGAATGTTATAATGCACAACTAAATGAAAGTATGATGCTATTACTGAATAGAAACACTTAGGATGGTCAAGATTCATTGTGATACTTATTGGCTAGAAAGTTATAAACATATGACGTTTATAACCAAATAAATGAATTTTTATAAATTAAAAAGTTCAAAGCATTTCTTTTAGAATCTAAATGTATGTACATAATTTGGATACTGAGTACCGGTTTTGACCTCTACGAACTATGTTTTGTCAACCTAAACCCCTGTAAATATGAAATGTAGAAATTTTAGGGAAAGTCCCATTTTCTACATCATTTATGGTTGCGATAATAACATGCAAACAAATATAAACAACATCCACAAATTCAATTTCAGAGAATAAAAATATATATAAAAAATGGATATATGCAAGGAATAGCTATGTACTTCTCATTTTTTTTTCCTTATCATAGAATAGTTCTTTCCCATGGATCAATACCCTCTAGAAATTGGCTAAAATTCAAGAAATTAAAAAGAATCAGAAATAAAATATAAGTTTCTTTTTGTTATACGCAATATTAATTGGGGAAAAGCGTCGAACAAATAAACAAATGGTGTTTCTTATCAACATCACGGTATCAGTTCTCCTGCATATATAAGATCGTGTTTCAATAAATAGGGTGATTCTTAGATAAATAACTGAAGTAACATCGGTATCATAAATAATTTAACATGCATTAAAAACACTTGTAATAATAATATCATTACTACTTAAATGTGCAGTAAAATAATTTTAATACATTAAAGAAATATTGACCTTGTTAAAAACCTATTCCTTGAATAATAAATTCAATTGGGGATGAAAGCTAGTTTAATCAAACTAATATATTAGTAAAAAAATATATATTGAAATCCATTTTCAGAAGTTCAAATCAGTTTACCTAATTTTGAGAATTAAATGCAATTTGTGAACCACAATTGGAGAAATAATATAAACATTCTCATATTAAAACCACCGTCACTATAATATCTCTTATAATATCTTTTACCATGAATATTTTTTTCCAACTAAACGTGACCCTTGAGATTCATGTCATGTTATTTGAATATGAAAACTAATATCCAAAATCAATGAATTCGCCTTTCCGCACCCTACTCAATGATAAAAAAAAATGATTTTTTTAAGTTTTTACTTATAACTGAATTTGTATTACATTTTTATTTTTCTTTACTACAATAAATATAATGAGGTATTTTGTTCTACCAATAGAAAAGATGAATAATGGTATCTCGGTAGCAACATTGAGTTCCCATTTTTCCCGGCTTTGATGTGTTCAAAACCTTAAAACTTTAACTAGAGGTGAAATTATTGGTGGCTGCTATTGCTAATCCTTGTTGGTCCATTTCCTTCATACATACCTTATATCATCATTGTTGTTTCTGTGGCCTTGATTTCATTGGAGATCTGCGCAAGTTCAAATTTCATCATATACATGCTGCTAAATAACAATATTAGGCATGCTCTCTTAATTAAGTGGTTTCAAAGTTCAATATTTTAAGTCAATTAATAGAGATCAGATTCATTAACGTTTTCCATCAAACGATGGGATGCATCTTACTCTAGTTCTTTCAAATGATCATATCGCATTATCCGGAATAGAAATTAAGTGGTTTGAATGGTTCAAAAGGGGAGCAGATTCATTAAGGCATTCCATCTAACACATGATGTGCATCTTAATAAAGACCAACTATAAAACAATTAAAATCATTCTTCAAACCCACGCTCAAGCATCAAGATTGAAAAAATAAGACAATATTTATCCCAAGTAAAATTATGTACACTGAAACATACTTTAGCTCACTATACCATTAACGAAAACCCATTTAGAATCCAAACCAAAATTGAATGGGTACAGGAGAAAAGAAACTGAATAATTAGAGAAGATAAGAAATTGTTTTTAAGTGGATTAGCAAAGAACCTGCAAACCATGAGTAGAAATCGATGGTGGTTCCTCATCTTGGAAGAAAAGATGACCTGCAATCCATGAGGAATAAGGGGAAGAGTTCAAATGGCATGAAAAGTTTTCTTATTACTTCATAAAATTACTATAAAAACTCTTCTATAAAATGAGTTGAAAGAACTCACAAGAGGAAATAGAACCCAAAATATATGAAATCGTTGAAGCAAATCCTAGAGGTTAGGATTAAACCCTTCAAATCAATGCGGGAAAGCTTGTGGGTGGAGGAATATTTGTAATTGATACAAGCTGGAAACAATTTTCTTCTTCGTATATTTGGATTTTTAATTATCAACATATAAAAAACGATGATTTAGTTACTGATTTATAGGATTTCAACTAAGAAATAAGATATGAAATTTAAAATTCTGCTACGAAAATGCCTGATTTTTTGGGTTGGACATAGAAAGTCTATGAGAATTTCCAAGATATTAAAACTAATTTGCTTAATTTTAGAAATGAGTTACTGACGATTGAAGAAATGAATGAGCGGGAAAAACAGTGCAAGAGTTGCTTCGGTATTGACATGTGGCATCTTGCTTATGTATAAGATGGCCACGTGGCGTTTAAGGGAGGTTTTTATTAAGTAGGGAGATTATTATTATAATTATTATATGTTTATATTATTTAAATAAAAACAATCTACCAAATACCAATCACATATGTATTATATCATAATCATTTCTATATTTATGTATTACTATTAATTATCTCTGTTGAATGTTTTGTAGTTTTGGGGTTTTCTTGAAGAATCAATCAATCAAGTTAACAAATATCAAAAGGCATAGAATAAAGTTATTAGAATCTTACAGTTTATATAACCCATCAAAGATTTAGGTTGGTGGAGGGTCTTCATAAGAGCTCCAAACATCTGAAAAGAGGAAGAATCCGGAAGAAATAGCGAGAATACACAGCATAACAATCTTTATTCTGCTTGAAAACAGGTGAACGGTGTTCCTTTCTTCATGCAAGCTAAACAACTCTTCAATCACCATCTTAACCAAAGCGTCCAAAAGCTTCTTGTACTGTGGACCAATATCAACAGAATGCAAAACCAGAAACATGGATTCCTTCACATGCTTTACCAATGATTCTAGTTTGACTGGATCAGAATCTTCTGTTGTGGCTTCATCATGAATTACTGAATCAACATGGAACACAGAAGCTTCAGCAGTTATTGGGGAGGATGAAAATGGAGTCGTTTCAGGAGTTGATATGGATGACAGAGCAGGTGATGTGCATGACAACAGAGTTATTTGTAATGAGATTGCAATTACAGACGTTGGTGAAGTGAATTGATTCAAAGACCCAATGTAGCTCTGAAACATATCTAAATTACTACAAATTGAAATCTTAAAACAAAATGATAGCACACAATGATCACCTCTAAAAGCATTAGATTGATATTGAATTAGATCTACTCAAAAAATCTGTTTCTAACGTAAATTGGTGTGTTCGCGATTAAATGCTTAAACTTATTGAACGTTGGGTGAGTAACATCCATATCATTTGCAGACAACGATGATTGAAAGTGTTAATTCGATTGACAATATACCTCGATGGAATCATTCGATTGATCTTTACCAAACACGAAAGCCTCTGAGATCAGAGCAATCTCAACCGACTTTTCTGGATTTTCAATCGCCGATTTGTTAGGGACCACAGAGTTTGATCGGAAGTTAAGCTCATTATGCCGATCTGATCATACCAAAAGAACAAACGACAACAAGAACAATTGAAATTGAAACAATTAAATAAGTGAAATGAATTTATAATCAAATTAATATAATGGATTCTATATAACTTTACGGTAGAATGATCGGTGTCAACAGATCCTGAAATCAACGAGAACTTCTCAATGGGCTCTTTCTCCGGTAAGTTTAAGCCAGCATCACCCTCAGTAACAGAATTTAGAACAGAACTCAAGTTCTAATTAAAACAAAAGTATATACAAAACATTCAGATCATTGATTCAAAACATAGAGAAATTGTTACTTATTGAGATTGTTTGACCTTTTGCTGCTGATGATGGAGCTTCTTCGATGCAGCATTCATCTGTTTAGCCTTGCGATTGGAAGGAAGTGGTAGGTGTTCCTTCTTTGGTGTTTGAATTATTCATGATTATCCTCTCTCATCTCTCTCTCTCAAACACACAAAAATAGAGGTCGTTCTTCACGCCAGAATTTTGAAAGCTGTTTATTTATATATTAATAGGCAATTGCGATTTTCAAGATTAGAAACTATGGCCCATAAGTTTTAACTAGTGTTATATATAAAAATACTAAATTGATTTTACTTTCTTCTATAGCATCCTTCTTTAATTTGTTGTCATATTAGCATTGTACACTGACAAATCTACGAAATTATATTACATATGAGCGAATAAAAGAATAACAATAGATTAAACGACAATAAAATAAAAGAATAGCAATCCATTAAAACACAATCAAATGAAATCAAGTTCAAAACAGGAAAATGACAGAAAAAATCAAAGATTTTTGTTTAATTACATCCTAAATTCATTTTTATATTAAAATCGAACCTATATTTTCTCAGAATCAAGCCAATACCCATCTTGAAAAATCAAAACCCTGGTTTAAAGATCCCTATTTACAAAAAATTTGTATATGTGTGTGTGCATCATGTTGATAAAATATAATATTAAGTCCACAATGTAAAAAGGTAAGAAAAATTAACCTGGTCTTTCATGAAAGTGGGTCCTGCAATATTGAAGTCATAATTAGAAGGTAGTTCACCATCAAAACAGATAAATAAATCCTATCTGCTACATAAATCACAAAAAATGGATAAAAAGGTCTAAAGATAAGTTTAGAAATTAACCTGACACCACCATTTGAACCAAAATTGACAAATTCAAAGAATTACATTTCATCATTTCCAAATTCTCAAAATAGGACTCTGTACGGTGCAACAAAACCCAATAAACAAGAGAATTTGAATTAAAAATATAAGCAAAATGGATGGGTTGGATAATAGATCAAAACATAAAAAGATAATCACCCATACCCATATGGTAGAGTAGCATGTTCATCCTTTTCGCCTCTTTAGCATAAAAATTTCAAACAATTATTCTTAGACCACTTGGAGAGTTAAATAGTATTCAAAAAGGTAAACAAAAAAAAACGATTCATCAGATTATGTATTAATCAACTGAATAACAACATGCATGCACTAAGCCTGCTTCACATTATCTTATATTGAAGAAAAATCTGCAACGTTTAAAAACTGTAAAGTGAGACAGATTCATAACCTCTTCACCCAACATTTATTATTTTGACTTCATTGACTAGTTTGGCTATGCCCTTCTTATCATAATGAACAAAACACATCTATGTATATATGAAAACATATAAAGGAGTGAGAAAAAGGTATGGAATTAAAACAAAATTAAATATAAACAATTTTAAACTTGAAGAGCTTCCACATATGACATATCTAAAGTAATTAATATTAACTATTAACACCTACCTGCACTGAAATACATACAAATGAATCCCAAAATTTTATTCAATAAATTATATTCAAATCTCATCCGAAATCAACAAATAAAAATCCATTTCTAAAAGCTTTAGAAACATATATTCTACCAATATGATATGTATCTCAATCACTGCATAAGAACCTCTATTCACATAATATTTTTGTTTCCAATTCAGAACAATATTTTCCATTCTTTCCAAAAACATTAGGTTGTACAATAACATAAACACCAGTAAATGTATTTTTACAGAGGAAGAGAGTCACATACTTTGCAGACTATATATGTAGTTGTGAAATCTGTCCAAACATGGGAGACATTAGACCTAGGTAAAAGCCTAAAATAAGTGATATTAATAACCTAATTCTTAACATCAAAGAACATCGAATTGGGCTGCATAATTCAAGATATTGTACAAATATGTTTAAAACAAACTTGTTATGAACGATAAATAGGAGTCAGTTCAAGTAAAATGAAAGAAAGTATACTTACCAATGCAGACTTGCCATCTTCTTTCAACTCCATTTCCACATTAGTCAAGAAATTTCTGAAAAACAAAGTAAAAAATATAAAGATCAAAACAAATTTGTAAGTTGCAAACTGACTTTTGTGGCGTTTTACTTACAAAAAGATGAGAAGAAAATTTTGTAATTTGGTCATTTTACCAAACAATTATTGAACATTGATTCCAAATCACATCATAAACACATAAAAACACTAACAACATTATATTAAAATTGAAAAAGTTTCAACATTGATTCACAAGTACATATAACATGTAAGTCAAGTAAAAAAAAATCGAAAAACCAAATAAGAACCAACTTAAACCTACATCACTCATCATCATTAGATTCATCAATAAGTTGCAAGACTCGATTTCGAGATTGGATGTACACTTTTCAGTGGTATAAATGGTAGGTCCACAACCAAGTCTTCATCTTCACATAGATCCACAAATTCTTCCCAATTCCAACATGAAAAATCCAATTTCCTCTTTTCTTTTCTTGCCAACTTCTCTTCTTCTTTGGCAATTAAACAAATCTGAAAGAATAAACAAAGCATTACACGGTTATTTATCTAAAAACAAAAACATAATGATAATTGCAACTCACTTTTAGGGTAGAAATTGACATTAAAGGAAATCTGAACAAACTATAAATAAATGATACATATCCTCTTATGGAACATTGTGGTTCCTGGGCATCTAGGACGAATTCAAGAAAAAAGAAACACTTTTTGGACTTCTCAAAAAACCAGGGCTCCAATTTTTGGCCATTCAAGCAAAATAAAAAATAAACTGTGTTTCTTTTACAATTGTTGGTCTTCTTAAAACCGAAGAGAACACTTGGAACTCTAATACCTGAAATCATAATGGAGAATTAACTTATTAGAAGAGAATCTTAAAGAAGAAGATGGTGGTATCAGACATATTGCCCCAATTATCTCATGGAATCGCACCTCATAAATCTAAAATTCCTAAGTCTGAACATCGTCACTTAAAACGAAATTACCCTTTTTTCCCTTCTCCACATTACATTCACACTTTTGGCTTTTGATTAGGACGTGTTATTTGTGTTTGTATAAAGGTATTTCCCTTCTTCACATTCACACTTTTTGACTTTTGATTAGGATGTGTTATTTGTGTTTGTATAAAGGTATGATAATTTCTTTTTTTTAGTAGGTTTCTAATTTCTTCATTTTTGAGACTGTAAAAAACCAACACAACCCTGATCCTTTCTTTCTCTCTTGATTATCTCAATTTTTTTCAATGTCGGTTTGTTGAGATTAAAAAAACGATTTAACAAGAAGCGGACGTTAAAGATTTCAATAGGATCTAGTTGATTAGAGAAGGTTTCAATAACTCTTATACTTAAAGAGTATCATACCATTAAATTTCTAACAAAAAAAAATTATATATACACTAAAGTCCCAATATATTCAACGATTTGACAAAAAAAGTCATAAACTTTATTTTTTTGACAGTAAAGTCCTAATTAACGATTTGACACGAAAGTTCTAAACTTTATTTTGTTGACAAAAAAATCATAATTACCGGCTAACCGGGAAAAAATGATAAAAGTATCAAAAACTACCGGTAATTTTGACTTTACTGTCAAAAAAATAAAATTTATGACTTTCTTATCAAATCGATGAAAATATTGGGACTTTAATGTATATATCCCTATAATCTACAAATATACTTTTATCATATTAATCGAATAGTTTTTAATGGCAAGCTACGTCATCGACCTTTATATCCACCAAAAGTGGAAATATCTCCACTAAATGATGATAAATTGACCTTAACGAATCATAATTATTTATTTGGCGTAAAACCTCCACAACAAATAGTAATAATCAACTCACTAGAGTCTGCACCTTGGTGAACTTAACATCTAAGTGCCGTTCAAAAAAAAATAGTAATAATCAACTCACTGCAGTTTACATCGACTATCGCCCTCTCTATAAATACAATTCTAGGTGTTAACCTTTTACTACACCCCACATATACTTTTAAACAATATATGTAAGTGACGCTTGAAAGCCTTGGTTTTATCTGCCATTGCTCGCTAAATCTTTATCATTTTAACTTTTCATTATAATTTTTTTGTTTATAATTTTATGGTTCATTAACTCCAGAATGTATAAATTAAGGTGTAATAATATCTACTGAGATGCATGCAATTAAAATTATAATTACAGATGATGTGTGTTTCCATGAGCATACTTCATATGATGATTGTTTAAATGGATATTCAATTGATGGGTTGATCATCTGTCTGAAAAGCATAGGCTTATATCGTAATTAAAATTTTATTTATATATTCTAAAATAAATCTTACAAACTGAAATTAATAGAAGGTTGAAGCCATAAGTGATAGACACGATATTAAAACACAAGATCCCCATAGCTTATTAATCATTTTTGATATTTGTGTTTTTCATGGTTTCATTACTTTTGCAAATCGTTTACATACACGTGTTAAAATCAATTGTATATATCTCTTTAGAGGATAAAAGGACTCTATCATGAAGAACATATCAGTAATACTTGTAGCGATGGTTGTGTTCCTTGCAATCCTTGAAGCTAACGCAAGTGGACCAAATTTGGAAGTGCGTAAGTTTTTAGACTACGAGAAAACAGTCGTCCCATCACATGATCAGGGCTCAGGTAAGAATGACATTCCTCACCTTGATGTAAAGGAAGCGACATTGACAACGGATAAAAAGTGGGGTGGTGCAAGTGGCATGACGGAGAATAATGGACAAGAAAAGGACTCAAGCACCGACACACATCATTACTTTGCTTGTGCTAAACAATCTCAATGTGGCAACGAAATCCATGCTTGAAAGAGAGCCATCACTTCTCTGGTGTTGATTGTTAATTGTAAGTTAATCAGTGTGATTGTAGCGAACTTATAAATAACCCCAATTGTGTGTGACGGTCAAGCCTCTTTTAGTTTTATTGGCATAAAGTTCCATATCTCTAAGTTGTGAGTTCGAAAAATCTATAAAATGCAATAGGAAAGTATATTTGTCATAATAAAAAGAAAGTGTAATGAAGAGTATTGTTGGGACTTTCTTTATTGTAATATATTATTATAGAAATGGTCTACTCTAAAAAAGATGTTTCATTTACTCTCTCTCTCTATCTCTCTCTCCCTTTCTCTCTCTCCATATATTTTTGAAAGTTAATATTACTACAACACACAAACCGTCACTATCTAAAGACTAATGGATTGTATAGGTTATAACAAAGCATATGAATAAAAGATCTATAAAGGATCTATGCCCTCACAATTAATAACAACTATTACCAACATCAAGAACCTAGATAAATCCTATTGAAATTGAAAATTCAAGAGCAGGGTTTACATACCTTTAGATTTATTATAGCAAATAAATCTCTTGATTATTTCATTTGGTTCTTCAGAAAGCTAGCACCAAAAGTTTAGTATCTCTAAAGGTTTGTACCCAAACCATAACAACTAAAAGACAAGAGGAGAGAGGAGATATGATGTAAATTTCGGCTATCCTTTTGTTATCAGGTGTGGACAAAAGTACAAGGCCAAATGGTTCTATTTTTAGCTGCTCAATAAACCCTGGAAACCCTAATTTAAATAAAATAATATCATTTCAAATTACCCAATTATCCAATTTCTTAATTATCTAAATGTAGGCTTTTAGAAACCCTAGGCCTCCAAAACTGTCCACCTATAGAATGTTTTGAAACCTCTCTATTGTTTAACTATTAAACAATTACAACTTAAGTTCTTGCACCTTTAATTAATTTTAATTAACTAAGAATTAAATCAAGATTAATTCTGATTAATTGTTTCTATTTCTGTTTAATATATTAATCATATAATATATTAACAAATAATTTCAAATTTATTTATTATTCGTATAACAAACAAACAAATTATCCTCTTTCTCCAAATATCATTCTATTTAGTTATTAGTTATGATTACATACCAAAAAGGATTTTGCTTCTAGTTACAGGTTATGCCAATTTAGTTATGAACTTAGACACCTTAATCCAACAATCTCCCATCTCCCATTTGGATAAGTCTATAACTACAATTTCAAGTACAACCTTGAACCAAACAGCAAAGTACATGTTCTGAAGCAACTACCGGACTATGATTGAAATCAGACATTAGCCCTAAGATAAGTGATCATCTATATGTTCATTCTTCAATATATTGTGTGGACATGAGACATGGAATCCAATTAATCTCATTGTCTAAAATTTTGTTTCCTGATTTCCTGATTTGTGATGACGTCATTATACTACAAATTTAATACAACAATTTAGACCTGGCTGAGCCCACACTATAATGTTAACACTGCTTTTCTCGTTAAGGGAAAAATGAACGAATAAAATTTAACTACATAACTGTAACCTTTACTCATCAAACTATACATGACACTGTGTTTTATAACATCATGTTACTGATGCATTTTCGCAACATCAATGCAGAACCGAATTGTAAATTAGAAGTTATCTATTTTTTTTGAAGAATATAATATATTATCATCTTATAATTACTCGTGATTGAATCCATGAAGTAATCTCTAAGCGTGATTTTATCTACTACTCAAAATCTCTATTTTCGAAGTACTCATGAATATTGCAACAATCCTATTTTATTCCCAATCTCTATGGACAATGTATAATTGATTCATGACAATCTTAATTCACTACTTACTTCCAAAAGTATTAGCGATGTGGAACTTTGAATAATCAAATTACTCTGGAAGTAAAACATGCAAAGTGAAACAGAAAAGTAAATAATTGAACAACGAAGTATCGATACTCAAATAATTCTCTATTATTCATTCGCCAAAACCAGTTACATTTATTTTGTTACAAAGTCTCAAACTATCAATTAGCTAATAAAACTAATATCATATCTGAAGTCAATGCTCCTAGCATGTTGGTTGTGCATGACCCTGCTTAGAGCCTTTGTGAAAGGATGATGCAGCGTAAAAAAAAACAAACAAAGATAAACAAGAATGAACCTCTTGATTCTAAAAGAATAATCAGGACAATCTCTTCAAAACCACGTTGATTCTAGGAATACCATGGGATTGGCTTCAAAATCTGGGTTAACACACACATACTTTTGGAAGAAAATGGAAAGTTCATAAAATTGATGATTGACCATCCAAATTACATCAACAAAAGTTAAATAAGAAGTAGAAATTAAAACGGAGCCCTAAAGATCCATGAGCCAAACACAAAACCAAAAACAAAACCCAAAAATTAATGGAAAATAACAAAATTGCTCTCAACTCCATTCATAATGCGATCTATGGACTTAAAATATAGTCCTGTAGCCAAAGTTATGTCCATGTCTGTGAAGCCCCCTTAGTGACACAATTGTGGGCCTCTGAGGACGCAAGAGACCGATGCTCCATACTTGGGCTTGTATCAAAGGATCTGTAGGATTATATTCCTATGATACTCGTTTAACTAGGAGATACCCATCCTCAACCCTATATCTGATCTAATGGTACTTTCTTTCGATATGCTTAGACCTACAATGGTCTTTTGGTTGTTTAGTCACTGTAACGACACCTTTATTATGGATGAATAATTATATTGGCTCTTGAATAGTCTGGACTACTTTGAGATCTCTGATGAAATTCTTCAACCAAGCTGCTTCCTTCGATGCCTTAGTCGATGTGATGTACTCTAACTCATAATCAAAAGTAGCCACCATAAGAGTCATATTAAAATGATATTGCTAAATAACATATGATCCTAAGGGTCACACAAACAACAACTTGATACAATTGATTATTTATTAGAAATTGATTTTAATAAATATTCATAAACTGTAACATCTGGTTTTCCAGGTATATTATTCTTAATATTTAATTTAAGAATTTAGGAGGGATTTGACGAGTTGGTGCCTCAACTCGATGAGTGGGGTCACGACTTGGTAATGAATGGACTCGACGAGTCGGGTATCTAACTCGCCGAGTCAGCACTGTCGAGGAAAACCCCAATTGCCCGGGTTTGTAACCTATTTAAAGGCTCTTATGTCCTTCATTTGCGGCCACATTTCCCTTGAGAGACCCCAAATCGATCAAGAGAGCTTAGAGTGAAAAAGAGAGCCCTTTTCATCATCTTGGTGCATTCTTGCAAGGAAGGAGAAGATTGTGCAAGCTAAATCAACTAGAGGAGCTCAGATCTACTTCTATCCCAATCTAGGCTGCTATTTAAGGTGTGAATTTATACCTATTTTCGAATGATTAGTAGATCTCATGAAATTAGGGTTTCTTTACCCTCTTTTAGTTGAAGATATTGAGTATAAGAGGTCCCCTTGAGGCTTAGACTTCAGATATGGACCTTAAGAGGTTCGGAGAGTCACATGATTCAAGCTTTATGCAGTCACATAAGAGTATTGAGCCTAAATACCATTTTGAGGGTTATTTTGACAAATAAAGCTAGATGGGCGATGCATGGATGTAAAGATTGAACCTTTACGTGATTATTGGATGTTAGGAGGTTGGATCTATAAGTTAGAGCCTCAGATCTGACCTCAAATGGTTGAATGAGGACTCGATGGGATGGACTCGCCGAGTCTGTTGGATGACTCGACGAGTCATAGCAGGTCTGTCCCGATATCTTCGACCCAATATGAACTCGTTGAGCTGAGGGGCAACTCGACAGGCTGAGTGGACTCTAAGACTGAACTCGAAGAAATGCGACTGGACTCGGCGAGTCACAGGAGTGCACTCGGTGAGTCAGGTCAGCCTGGACAGATTAAATTAAGCAGACTTCGGTTAGCTTATGGGATTAGTCAATAATGGGCGTATGAGACCATGGAGGGGTAAAATGGTCTTTTACCCAATCCCGAGAGACAGAAAGAGAACAAAAGGGCTTTAGGAGTAAAAGGATAAAAGGATGGATAATGATTAAGATGTTTGTCTATTTTGATGGGTTGAGGCTAGTTCAGGATTTCGAGAGCTTGTCTATTGTCTTCTAGTTACAAGGTGAGTCTTCTCACTATACTTTACCTGGAATGGTAACTATGTGTGACCGGAAGGTCTTATGTGCTTGTATGAGTTATATGATTTGATATGTATATGTTGTATGAGTTGGACCGGAAGGTCAAGTAGGGATGGACCGGAAGGTCAAGCAGGATTGGACCAGAAGGTCAGTATGGTAGGACCGGAAGGTCTACCAGGATTATGGGATCGGAAGATCCCACTGAGACACAGTGACCAGAAGGTCTTGTAGCCTAAGGTGGCTAGTATGTGTATGTGGTATTTTGGGGAACTCACTAATCATTTATGCTTACCGTGTTATATGTTATGTGTTTCAGGTACTTCTGAGGATCGCGGGAAGGCTCCGGCATGATTGTACACCTGCATAGAGATAGAATGGTGGTCCTAGATTGATAAATTAAAGTGAAATTTTGTTTGAAAATTTTTGGTTGTTACAAGTTGGTATCAGAGCCTTGGTTTGAGGGATTCGGATACGCCTTCAGGCATATCTGAACTCAAACTAAGGATTCGAGAAAAGTTTTCAAAAAAGAAACAATTTTTCTAAAAAGAGTAAAAGATTCCAGAAAGATTAGAAGAGAGCAGTGTGTACAATCAGCTAGCACCCGAACGATGATTTCCTAAAATACCCTTACTTTATGTGTTATGAGATAATATGAGATATGATATGCATGCTAGAGAGTAGGCTAGGTACTTCTTAATCTAGGACTAGAGTGGCCTGATTTGTGATGCCTTAGCCTAGGAGTTACTACTACTGTGAATTTCTTCGAGTATGAGAAGGTAGCAGAGAGTAGTTTATGAGAGGTCTACTAGGGTGTAGGCTGTATTC